AGACTGCAATGTTTGCGAAACGTCAGCGCAACGCTGAATCCAAACGCGGTATCCATCCGGAAGACAAAGATTTTGTAATACCCTTGTTGTATTAGGAAACGTCGATATTAGAAATAGTAAAATACGGATCGCTCTTCTATCTACACTCAGGAATGAGAAAAGTCCACAATATTCCACCATATTTCAGCCGTGAAAATTTTTTACTAAGCTTCAAAGCATAATCCCTGAAAATTTAATTAATTAAAGAATGCAGTGCTTTACAAAGTCAGCTTTTAATCCCTGAATTCGTAAAAAAATCTATTTTTTTAAGCATCTTAACTTCTCCCAGCCTTTACGGTCAACAAAGCAGATACAACAATTCAAATGACATCAGCTGTTTTAAAAAAATTATAATATTAAATGACTTTGCGTCTCTTCATTGAAAAATGGAAGAAAATTGTTATTATAATTTTTTGGATATCATCATCTAAAGCTCAGAAATCCCCACTGAAAGTTTAAAAAAACAAAATTTGAAATATTCACAGAAGGCGAACGGTTGAAGGAATCGAAAAATCCTAATAATATCTAAATAGTTATAACACATGCCAAAAACCAATTCAGTAGCGAAGTGGTAAAGCGGTTTAAGGATAATCGGGCGAGAAGGAAATGTAGCAGGTGAGGCGGAGGGGTTTCTATTGTTTTCCTGCAAAAAACCAGTCGCTGAACAAAAAAATTTTTCCCGTTCGGATTGAAAATTCAGGCAATATTAGGGAGTACCTCCGGTTAAAAATTATCTTTGGAGCTAATCAAATTTATTTGTACCTGTTCTACGCATTGAATGGTTTTCAGATTGTTTTTTTTTAATACATGGAAAAATATTAATCCATGCGAAAAAGTGGCAACATCGTCGGTAGTTGTTTTTTCACTAGGAGCTGGTACCACTGGCTCGAGAGAGCTCCAATCACAACGCTTCATCGCTCTCTCTCAAGAGACGTTTAAATTGACCGCGCTACCCCACCCGATCGGTACGTGGCATGTTGCTGCTCGTTTGGGCCGCGTGCGCAGAAATGTAATTTTTCAGTACTTTTTTCGTTATTATTAATAAACCATGCTCCTAGGCGACAATCTTTTTCACTCAAAAAATCATTGATCACATGTTCTAAATGTGTCTAAAGTTTCATGACTTTGGCTGCATTTTCTCCTTGGGTTTTGCAGTTTTTTTGCGATTTCCATAAGATCACAGGTTAAATGACTACTTTTTCAAAAATTCATAATAAATTAACCATGCCCCCCTACAGTCTGAAACTTTGCACACGCCTTTTCCATGATTTAAAGAATACGTAAAAAAAAATGGCTGCTTTTTTCTCATCCCTTCCAGCTCGCCCGATTATCCTTAAGTTGACTTATCCCCCAGTTGAGTTTTGGAGGAATATTTCCGAATCTAAGGGAGTCAATCGGCTCTACAGAAAAAGTTATAACAAGATTCCGAGATATTCATTGAAAACGGGTCAATAGTCAAAATTGACTTGTACCGTTTTACCACTTCGCTACTGAATGGGAGACGCTAAGCTTCCGAGCCTCGTGAGTCGGCATGAGACTCCCCATACATTGCCATGAATACTTCACAAGTATTAAATTATTACTGTCACTCGACCCAAATTTCGTCCAAAAAATCCCTGAACTTTGTCTCTCCTCATCATTCCTTCACAAGTTGACAAAGAAAATACGAAGAACGTGAATGCGGGAGTTTATAGTATATCAGAAATAATAAAACACGGATCGCTTTACTGTGTACACTTGGGAATGAAGAAAGTCCACAGGCATAAGGCACAAGAGTACGAGTGGACAGCCAGCAATACTCGATTTCGCTCTATCGATTTCCACCTGAACACATTTCAAGGTGATATCCAGCGGTTCTACATATTCCACCGGGTGCGAGAGCAAAGGGAAAAAGGGAAACGGAGACATTGTTCGGATAAAAATATTTATCCTTGAATTGTGTAACAGCTCTTTCCCCTTCACTCTTTCACCCACCTTGTGCGATTTTTTGTAATCACATGAACTCAAGCGATGAAAAAACGAGATCCCAGGGAAATATAAAAACAACTTTTTATTTTCACTGATGGTATTGTATCCAACTATTTATCCCCGCACTTCAAATAAAGTGACAATTTTTTTTTTTCACACTCTGTGTTGACAGACGGATGATATCAGCAATAAATTTTCGTCGACTTTTTTGCCCACACGGAGAGAAATATTCAGTAAAAACTACGGAACTCGCAACTCGCTCACCGATTACGAAATCGACTCAGAAAATTTAAGTGATGGTATGGTAATTTTTCACAGGAGATTCAGATAAAAACTACCAAATGCTCTAGAAAAATTCCATGACAGTTCCGTAAAATTTCCTACAACCACATTTCGCTCCGGAATTACGGAAAAGATACTTAATTTTTATTTAATATTTCTCTCCGTGCAATAGTAAGCCATGAAAAAGGAGAAAAAAATCGAGAGGATAAAAACGTATCAATGTCCTTTCACGTGGACGGTCTATCAAGCTACATGACAATTTCCGTCTAAATTGAGAGGAAAAAAGGTTTAATTATCGATTTCGATGATGCAACCAACTCGAGCGGGCATTTATCCTACACAATGTCACCACAAGCGATCCTTTGTCACCGGTTCCATTGTTCCATGTTGATTCAATACCCAGGAATTAAATATCATTCATTTCTCATTTCCCCCGGGGTAAAAACAACGATAACACAGACGAAGGGAAAAAGATACGACGCAATTAATATTTAAGATATTAAAAAATTGCAATCTCGGTATGCTTATGCGCTTTGAGAAATGAAAAAGTTCGTGGATATTGAGTTGGTCGTATTGAATCTGTTGAGGACATAAAGTTTGTGTCAATGAAACTTTCATAATAAAACTGTTGCGCGATGAAATATCGATTTATCGGAAGTAATAAAAAGGACGTTTATGGAGATGCAGCGGATTAACTTTTTTTCTTTCTTCTTGAGCTGTTTTACTTGGGAACATGTTGGCGGGAGGATGTTGCGGGTACTTACCAGAGCGTCCAAGGGATTCGGAGGCTTCGATTGGACGACGGAGAGGAGACCTTGGCTCAGCGTGGGAAATACGTACTTGAGGAGGTAGAGTCGGAGTGGCTCTGAGAGCGCTCTCAGCAGATGTTCCTCCTCTTTGAGCTGATTTACCATGTTATTCTTCTGCGGTTGGAATTATAGAAAAATATTCATGGCTTTTTGTTACTTTTTTGGGGAGAGATGAGGAACTGCAACTTGAAGAGAAATTCAGGGCGTTTATGCATTTTTAGATATTCATTGAATGTTTATGCTGAGTCTTCGTGATATTGCTGGTGAATTGCCGTGATTCAACCGAAGGAATGGGAATTGATTTTCAAAGTTCTGACGTGGACATGTAGTTTTTCGAGAAAAATGCACAGATAGAAAATTCAGTAAAAAAAGGCACACACTGTTAAAAAATGTTGTCTGAAATTTCCGGTAGACTTTCTTGGAAAATATCTATCGAATTTCATTACCACTGAGAATTCAAGGAATTTCGTCATTGAAAATTAAGAACTGCGTGGAAAAATCAAAGAGAACTGTAAATTTCAGTCCCATTTTTCGCTAAAAATGAATAGAAACCCATAAAATTCCAATAAATATATTCTAGAATTTTCAGGACAGTGACACTGACTGCGATTTGGGGGGAAACAATTATAAAATTCCAGATTTCACTGAATATTCAAAGTAAATTGACTCTGAATATTTATATTAAATTGAAAATTCAAATAAATTAAGGAATTCTCGTCTTTATCCTGCTTAAAATTCTGGCACAGATGAATAATTCAGTAAAAAAATGCACATACTATTAACAAATTTTGTCTGAAATTTCCGGTAGAATTTTTGAAAATTTTTTATCGAATTGAATTACCACTGAAGTTTCAAGGAGTTTCCACATTGAAAATTCAGAACGTCGTGGAAAAATCAAAGAGAATTGTAAATTTTAGTTCCATTTTTCGCTGAGAATGAATAGAAAACCATAAAATTCCAATAAATATATTCTAGAATTTTCCGAACAGTGACATTGACTGCGATTTAGGGGGAAAAAATTATAAAATTTCCGATTTCACTGAAAATTCAACGTAATTTGGCACTGAATATTTATATTAGATTGGAAATTCAAATAAATTAAGGAATTCTCGTATTTATCCTGCTTAAAATTCTGGCACAAATGGAGAATTCAGTAAAAAAAATACACACACTACTAAACATTTTTGTCTGCAATTTCTGGTACACTTTTTGGAAATTGTCCGGTGGCTTGGCGCAGTGGGTAAGTTCGTTGCCTCACATGCGAAAGGTTCCGAGTTCAAATCCCGGCCGGGTAGAATGGTGCGATCTAACCATTTAAAGTCTTGATCATCATCGCAGTATACCCTAACCGGGTCGAAGCGATGTAAAATAACAATTAAAAAAAAAATTTTGGAAATTTTTATCCAATTTAATTACCACTGAAATTTCAAGGAATTTCGTCATTGAAAATTCAGGATTTTGTTGAAAAATCAAAGAAAACTGTAAATTTCAGTTCCATTTTTCCCTAAAAATCAATAGAAAGCCAGAAAATTCCGGTAAATATATTCTAGAATTTTCAGGACAGTGACTCTGACTGCGATTTAGAGGGAAACAATTATAAAAATTTAGATTTCACTGAAAATTCAAAGTAATTTGGCACTGAATATTTATATTAGATGGGAAATTTAAATGAATTAAGAAATTCTCGTCTTTATGCTGTTTGAATGTCTGTCTGTCTGGAATTTTACAGAATTTTCAGTGAAACCTGAAATTTCATGATTTTTTCAGCTAAATCGTATTCAGTATCGTAGTCCTGAAAATTAGTAGTCAACTGTCTATGAAATTTTTTTTTGTAACAGTGCAGCTGAAAAATTCAGTAATAAAGCGGTAAAACAATTTAAGTAGATTTTTACCATAGTTGGTCGTCAATGAATGTCTCAGAATCTAAGGCAGATAGCAGGATTGTTGTTACAACCTTTTTAGTAGAGCAACTTAGAAGCTACAAAAAAAATTTGTTTGAAACGCAACTAAAATTCCAGAACATTCTGGTCGACTAGCTCGGCCTACTTCGAAAATCTCCGAGACCCTTCGGGTCATCAGTCATAAGTGACCGAAACACGCGCGAAGAGTTTGGGCTTAGCCTCTCACCGGATAAGTCTATCTCGAGCAAATCACCTGTAGAAGTCGTATAGTATCCGTACAGTTCCGATCAGTATATCAACTCAGTTCGTTTATTCAGTTTTATAAATTCAATCTAGAGTCAATCAACGCAGTATCAGTATAAATTCAGTAAATCAATTAATAACTTTCTAGAGACATAAAAGTGTATAAAGTGTACATATTTTCAGACTTTGGTGGCTGTTGGCCACCAATAAATTGTGATTTTAGAAAACTCACTATTTTTTCTTTCACGGCTCATCCTACTTTAACTATTCTCTAACACCTCCCACAATCCACCCAATTTACAGATCCTCTCCTCAAATAAAGTTGTTAGGAACATTTCACTATCTCCCTTAGATGTGAAGATATTCCTCGAAAACTCAGTTGAGAGCTAAGTCGATCTCGGCTTCACCCGATGCGAAGCTGATGGCCTATCGGACGAGCTGAAAAATCTCCATCGCACATGCACTGAGAGAAGATATTAGTCCTGCCGAGAAACTAGATGTTCCACATGCGAATATTTGATGGAAATATTTGAAGGAAATTTAACATCTTCCACAAAAATTGAATTTTTGTCGTGATCATCAAAAATATCCTCATAAAAATTCGAACTGTTGGCAGGAAAAAATATAATCTATTGTACGTCAATCATTAGATCTGCAAGAACTCCATAGGTTTAAACCAAGAATACATTGACGGTAATCTAGCAATTTTGAAAAATTTGTATTTCTGATCCTTATTTGATCTAGACTTGAGTTTGTCATTTTTAAATCCCAAGTTTCTTATTTTAAGAAACGAAAATGTTTTATTTTTAAAAATCTAAAATTCTGAATTCCAGCAACGAGATGGCCTTAAAGTAGGAGAAAATATACTTCAAGTATAATTGGTAATGGATTTTAGTAAAAATTAATGACAGGCTAGACATTTCTCTCGGATTTTTAGAGAAAATTCTGTTAGGAAAAGAATTTATGGAAATTTCATCTAAACCCAGGACTTTTTGCTCTTTAAAATTTAGTACCAAAGAATACTGAACCCAGAACTCGAGAGATTTTTACTGAAATATTGAAACTTTTTTTCTTTGTGAGGAAATGTGAAGTTCAGCATCTCAATTTCAGAAGGAATGTTCGTATATCGATATATCGTTTCCGCAAATTTTTCATGAATTTCAATAGTATATCACATAACGAGCGTGTAGCTGACGGTTCTGACGAGGTTGAGGTTTGCAGTACGAGCTGAAGGTGAAGATTGCAATCACCCTCGTTGAGAACGTCATTTACAGACAGGTGACAATTCCCATTTTCCTGCACAGTGTGTTTTATAATTTTTGAGTTCTACGGAGTGATTTTCGTGTCGTAATTTTCGATGGATCGAATTGAAACGGAATTCGAACAAAAAACGTAGTGAACTTTCCAAACGGTTTCCGAGAATATCGTGGGGTCCCTTAAGAGATTAGGAAAGTTCTGGGAGGGCTTAGGGAGTTTTGCAACGACTTAGCCAAGTTTTCTGAGGGCGCAGGATGTCTACACGGAGAGAAATATTCAATAAAAATTGCGTATCTTTTCCGTAATTCCGGAGCGAAATTTGGTTGTAGGAAATTTTATGGAACTGTCACGGAATCTTTCCGGAGCGTTCCGTAGTTTTTATGTGAATCTCCTGTGAAAAATTACAATACGGTCACTTAAATTTTCTGAGTCGAATCCGTAATCGGTGAGTGAATTGTGAGTTCCGTAATTTTTACTGAATATTTTTCTTCGTGTACCAAATTCGTTTTAGTATTTTGGGAGGTTCTGGATTTAGATGCAAAACCTAACGTAACATTTATAAATTCAGTTGCACTGTTGAACGAAAATCAAAATTTCATGGTCAGTTGACTCATAATTTTCTGGAGAGAAACATTGAACTCAATTTGATGGGTTGGAGAAATCATGAAAGTTCAGATTTTAGGGCATTTTACGGCATATTATGATCTGATTCGAAAGATATTATGATAAAAATTCGATGCAGTAGTTTTCGTGATATTGAAAAAAGAAAAATTTTCCATAATCGCTGTATCTCAAAAACTACTGGACCGATTGAGCTGAAATTTCACCCATATGTACTTCCAAATAATACCAATTATGAGCGAAAATTTCAGATTTTTATCTATTACTTTAGTCTTTCTGTGAAAATTTTTAGAAAGATTCCTCGAATTTTGTACGCACATACACTGAGAGAAATATCGTCAAAATATCACAAAACTAATTTCTTGCGTCAAATATCTCATCTCTAGAGGATACATTTCTCGCCACAAGAAATCGGTTGTTTCGTGTCAGAAGATGAGAAAATGACTAGTAATATTAAAAGCTTCGATTCAGTGAATCATGAATCAGAGACTTTTATATTGAATGAATAGAGAGTTTCTGCAGAGGAAAACCTCCAGATATTACAAAAATATAACCGCCGCTCATGCTCAATCGCTTTGAGTTCGAAGGGAAGCAATATCTGCTTTTCCTTCTGTCAAACTATTCCTGTCTTTTAAGGAATATTATCTCATTTCGAAAAAAGACATCACCTTTTCATTCCGTAACTTCCTCCTTAATCCGAAGAGCACCGATTTCTTGCCTGAAACCTATCATAAATTGATCAAATATGTATGCGATGTTTTTCGCTCAAGAATATGATTTTTGTGATTTTTGTGCGTTGATTTTTTCTTAGTGTACGGACGTACACACAAACATTCTCTAAAAACATAATATCTCCACGTTTCATGATATTCCAAGTCATTTCCAAGCAAAATTAGAAAATCGAAAAATCGACTGATTACAAAGCTTTCATTCGGAAGCAAATTGCTAATTTATTAGCAACAATATTTACACCCATTTATAAAAAATGCAATCGTCCGATTGTTTCTCCCAGTGTAGCAGAAAAATCCCGAATTCTGTACGGAATACTGATATCTCATAATTTCAAATTGAAATGCACCCTGAAAAATTCCA